AACCTGAAAATGAAACAGTCCATTTTTAGCTTGACTCGAAGCTTAAAAAAACATTCATTATTTCATCGTACTCTAAATTTAAAATCAATGACCTCTGGGCYGATCTAATTCTGGGCATGGTTAACTCACAGATAGAATYCTGAAACAACCTCTGGGCTGATCTRACCCAGGCCATGGCTCACTGACTCACAATTCAAATCAGGTCTTATATCAGGCCATCTTATGACAAGAGCTCCGAAGGGCGTTTGATTATAGGTTTTGCGTCCATAGACACACCGAAAAGCTATCGGCAAATCTTTATAGATTTAATATATCCGGTGCCAGCTGTGGGCGCATACATCATTTACAGCAGTAATATGTTTGAATATTTACGAAGACCGTACATACATGGCTATCTAAGCTAATGCGTTGTCAAAACTGGGAAATGTATTTGAAAGTATGCAGGGGATGAATTCGCTGAGGGCATCTCTTTTATCTCCAAAGGAAGATGCGCTTCATATGTCCCCCCGTTCTCCGATTACTTTACATCAAATGCACTAGTCAGTTGAAACCCCACCCACCGGGACAGGGGGGGTTAATAGCGTGAATGCACGGRCATATAGGGAATTTAACGCGTAGTTCAGCAGTTTTTAAACAATTTTAATGACTTTAACTTCAATAATTTTAACAGCAAATCTTTCCAAGGACCGGGGCAAAGTGCTAGATTTCTCACTACGTGCAAATTTTTTTGGCTACTAACTCCTGCTGACTTATCTTCTAGTTATTCCTATTGAACTCATCTTCTAGCGATTCCTTTACSAGCAATACCTTTTATAACCCGTTACCCTATACATTTGCAACACATAGCCTAAAATTCACAAATACCCTAGCTAAAGACCCACAAATAACCTAAAGACCCATCCACAAGGGAGCTTTAGATCGATTTGACTACGACTACGACCACGAGTTCGAGTACGACTATAATAATAATAATAATAATATTAATATTTTGTCGCTAAAAATCTTCCACTACGAACTCGTTGTCGTCTTCTGTATGGTACAACACATTTCTAAAACAACAATTGAACCAATACAAGGAAAACCATGAGTAGTAGTAGCATACTTTACAACAAATAATCTCGTACTCGTGTAGTCAAATCTAAAGCTTCCATAGAGGTTGGTTGTTGCTTGATCTTGAATCGTATATGGTTAATTGTTGGACTTCCTATCAGTATTTCATGTTATACTTTGCAAGTCATTTCTTTAAAACTTCTGATTAAGACGAAACTATAGTCGTTTCTTATTCTATTTATTATCATGTCCAAGTGTTCTCGATCGTTGTGAGCACGTGAGCAGGCATCAGTCCACAAAACATTTGAGAAAAGTTGACTAATCAGTCAGTTCCCAGAAAATGAACTTTTATTTGCGTGGCACAAATAGATTAGAGCTAAAATAAGTAGAGTTTGATGTTCAAGAACTTAACAGTATTTGCTAAACTTGCTTACCTGGAACTTGTTGATATTCGTGTTGTAGAGTGTGTTGTCAAAATGGCTGCCCGCCGAAATTTGAATTGAAGTCACATGA